CACACACAGAGACACACATAGAGACACACACACACCTCAGCAGACGCTCAGCCAGGCTCCCTGCCTGCAACGTGACCCTTCTTGATCCTCCATCAGACACACACACACTCTGAGCCACTCCAACCTGCTGAGTGGCCGAGTGCAAGCTGTCCACCTCTCACCTACTGACAGGGAGCAGCAGTCTGTCAAAAAAAACATCAAATCCAAACCAGCTTAAAGGTCCAATACACTCAGAAATCCTGTTGATTCCAGCCTGCTCTTTTTCTGCGGAACAGTCGGTGCCCTGTTGGCATTTGATTTGTTAATATCAATAACAAGAAATGGTATGACCATAAAGCCCACCTCACAATAACAACATGATCTGGATTAGAAGATGTCATACAGTAGGTGCTGCTGCAGAGTTGGTCATTCTAAGGAGCTAAACTGCATGTTGGTGATTGATGGACAACAGGATTAGTTGGTCAGATCCAGTAGCTGTGTTTCCTTGCACACCACATGACTTTATTCCCTGAGAAGCGAGTTTTGGTTGTTTCATTTTAGTTTGCAATGCAGATCTTTGCACCCCGATTCAATGCTTGTTTTTGGCTCGCCTAATTCCCCCATTGTAAGTATTTTTCTCTGGGTTCATTGTCCATGTTTTTGTCTATTTGATCTTCCTTACCTCAGTGACTATTGCCCGATCTGCTGCCATGGTGACAATCCTCAAGTACATTTGAGTTGTTCTCCTTTACAGTTTCTATGAATGTACTGAGGGTGTCAGTTGTAGTTGGTTAACAAGCTACAAAGGGTTGACTTTTTTATTATTACATTATTTGCCCTATACCCTTTTTAAATGTATGTTTTGTGATTGATGATGGGAAAGATTTATGTAGATTAGTAGTTTAAAGGCCTAGTTCGTTAACTAGTTTAAAGGTCTAGTTCGTTAAATTCCAGTTAAGAACTGGAATTTGGGCAATAATAAAGGAAAAATGAAAAGTTTTGCCTTCCACTACTTTAAATTGTGTAGAGTTTCCTCCTAGGTTCAGTTATGTGACAGCTCCCTGTGTGTTTCCTACTCAGTAATGAAATGATTCAGTCAGGATACCAAACGCTGCAGGCCAGGATATTAATTATTTCATCTCCCGCAGATTCACAGCAGTGTGGTGTGTGTGTTTCTGTACTGTATTTGAATACACAAAGTTGTTTTACATGTCTTTATAAGGCTGCAAGTCACCTTGGAACAGGACTTGCCAGTGGCTCTGTGAGAATGTACTGCACAACAGAGCTTTGAGAGAAATGCTTACATGCTCACAATGACAATGCTAACATTTTATATGTAGCAGGTATAATCTTTACAAAGTTCAACACCTTAGATTAGCATTTTAGCATTGTGTTGCTAATCGGTAATAAACAATGGATGTATAAAGAGAACTTAGCAAAGCATTGAAGTTGGGGATGGTTTTTTCTTTGAAAGTAGTTCAGAGGCAAATTAATCCATAAATGGTTTGACTATAGATAGAATAGAACCGCGCATCATTGGGATCATAGAGCATGCACACTTGAGTTTTGCTTAAGCCCCACCTCCAATCCACTGTGTCACAATCAAATGAATGGGAAGGATAAATAAATAATTCAGCTTCTAGTGCATTTTACAACTTTTAGAACCTGAGGATTTAAAAAAGGGTTATTCAAGCGTTTGTTCTGGGTAGTTTTACAGACATCTCTTTGCAAATGTTAATCAATGGGAAAAGGCTTTTGGGTCCTATGATCTCACAGACTGGTACCACCGGTTGGACACAACGAAATGTAGCTTCAGTGCCTGGCTTTCTTCTTTGGGGCTTGTACTAAACACAAAGTAAAGCATATGCTGATTGGGATGTTTTAAATGTTACTTTATGACCAAAGAAGTTTTTTAGATATGTGTCAGAGAGAATTCAATGATAACTTTTTATTGTTGCCAGCAGTAGATGAAAAGTCAATCCATCCAATAAAAAACAAACCAATAAAAAACACAAATATAGTCTTAATGCTAGAAGAAAAGTCCATTTTGTGGCAACCCATCCTAAAGTTGTTAAGAGATGTTAGTCTCTGATGGTTGGCCGACATCACCCTTCATAAAGTCAAACTGCTAGCATGGCTATATAGCGACGGTAGTTGTTAATCTGATTCAAAATGTCTCCTTCCTGTCATCTTCCTTGGGTTGTAGTGAATTTACTCATTAAAAATCATGTAAATATCCCATACATTATCTTCCACAGACTTACACACACACCTCTCAACAAATATCAGACACCCAGAGATTTGCCTGATAAAAGGCAGAGCTTTGTTCTATTCTCTGAACAAGTCAATGTCATTGAAACTCTGCCCATCTCCTCCTGGAAACGGACAATATTTCTGTCTTTCTCCCCCTCTCTTTCGCAATCTGCCGTGTGCGATTAAGGTAATTATGCTGCCTCTTCACAACACCCACCAACCCAGCAGCAAAAAGCTGGGAAAATAGAATACAGCGGGCGATAGCAAGCAAGAGAAATGTAGAGACATAAATGACTGATGAAAAGCTTTCTCAGGTAGAAGGTGGCAAAAGTCAATGGGTCTATTCATCACTCAGACCGTTTGGAGCCACATCATGGACAAGCTTTCACTGCACCAACATACAATACATCCTTACAAATGCCACTGCTAGTTTTACCCTAAAATGACTCCCTTAAAACCACTGACTGACAATTTGTACTCCGAAGTGTGATGTTCCTAAGGTAAAATGCTAGCTTTTGTTGTACAATCTCAAAGAAAGAATGGAAATATTGAGCTGGACTGACCTGACCGAGGTTCAGCTGAAGTGGCCAAAAATGAATTTGACATTGTTGTAAATTAGACCAAGATTTAAAAGGGTAATATTATGCTCATTTTCAGGTTCATATTTCTATTTTGTGCCTCTACTGTTTACATGCTTTAATGTTCCAAAAGGTCTTCATTGTTCTCATACTGCCTGTGCTGCAGCACCTCTTTTCACCCTCTGTCTGAAACCAGAGCACAGTCTGCTCTGATTGGTTAGCTGGCTGGCTTTGTTGTGATTGGTCAACCGTTTAGAGATGTCCCTTCCCTTAGCGTACAATGTGTTGGAGCGCTAACCAATAGAAGCGATAGTGATATCATAATGTTACGGAAGTTACCTTAAGAATCCAATGGAGGCGTTTCAGGCAGGGGGGAGTGTCTTTGAGAAAAACTCCCTCTGGGGGGAAGTTTGGGATTTTAGCTTTTGCAGACCATTTACATGCACAAAAACCCATATAACAAGCCCCTTACAAAACAAAATAAAGAGGAGTAATGGTGTTTTGCTGCTCTCCGTCTGGAATACAGAGTCCATTCACATTAGTTCTAATCATTGGCAGCCTTGAGGCTTGCTTTCTCTCTTCTTCCACCTCTCTCTCTCCTTCCCTCTCTCTGTTTACCACGCAGAGGTTGATTTATGGCGGCTGCACTTTGCAGAGTTGGGTGGCGTGGGCGAGATATAGCAGCTGAAGGGGAGAGTGGAAGGAGACGAGCAGAAGAAGTGGAAGCGGGAGGAGAAAGGGCCATAGGAGAGATGTATCAGGGGAGAGGAGAAACAGAGACTGAGGGTTAGAAGAGGATAGCAAGTAAGGAGGACGATATCACAGGAGGAGGAGGAGGGAGGTGGTGTGAGGAGACAAGGAGAGGTGTTGGATTGGCCTCAGGTGTCTCACACTGATTTGTATCTTTTATGTTGCTCTTCATGTCAAGGTCTCATGCTACAGTCCCTCTGGCCCAGACATTCCTGTGTGTTTATTCCTGATCCACCTCATTACCATAACTTTAGTCTTGTCATTGACAGTCATGGTCAGGATAGGTTAGGTTAGAGCTGATAACATTACATTAGACTTTAATGATTACTTTAGGAAAGCAGGGCTGTAATGCTACAGATCACCCAAACAAGTGGGAGTTATGGTAATATACAACTGGCTATTCAAGCAGTTGTATTGGGCAGAAAAGTCATGAATGGGGCCGCCGTAGTGCTCAGTTAGTAGAGCTGACTGCCCATGTATTTGGTCTCCATTTGCCGTATGTTATCCCCAACACAGTCACAGGGAACTAGCTGCCCTTCTTGTAGAGCAATCGTAAGCTAAAAGGGTTCCCCTCACAATACACTATACAGTGTGTACTTTACGCACTACTAATAAATATGTCCCGAACTTGCGCTCGACAATGCACTCACTGCAATACAACCAATGATCGGATGAACGGTTGTCGAAAAACGAAGGACCGACAGAAAGACACACAGAGAGACAGATGAACAGACAGATGGACATGTTCATGAAGTTGTTGTTGCATGCTCACGTTCTGCAGGGACAATGTTTAATTTGTTAAAATCTTAACAGGTTAGCATTGTAAAGCATATGCGGAATACCATTCATATTGCTGGGATTCAGTCATGATACATAACAATTTAGACTTAATGGTGGGGTTTGATGAAAAGTGAAGGGGTCACTAAAGTTATAACAATTCACCCCAAGTGGAACATACAGTCAATGTGTGCGCCAAATTTCATGGCAGTCTTTCTAACCAGTTGTTGAGATATTTTGCTAAAAACCACAAATGTGGACCTGTTGGTGGCCCTAGAGGAAAAGTCAGGGAATCACCAAGTCAGTAAGGTACATTGTTTTCAAAATACAACTGCCAAGTTTGTATCGTACAGTAGATGTTAAGATATTTCAATGGGTCGGTGAACACTTGGAGAAAGATCAGGAGATCACCAAGCACATTCGGATTTATTCTCTACGTACCAAACATTTTTGTAGAAAAAGTAACGATTTTTTAGATTAACTAGAGACAAAACCTGAGGTTGGCACTAGATTAAATTAAAGGTAAACCCCAAAGTTAGTAATCATCCTCTGGGGACCATCGTTGTCTGATTGGAATGGGACCGAAACACTGCGCCCAACACTATATTATGATACGGTTTTATAACATTAGGAATTGTCTCTTCTCTTCCTCCCTTTCTGCAGCGGGTCAGTTGAGCCAGTCTGCCCACTTCTCCCTCCAGCTGCCCTACACTGTGCTGGGCCTCGGACGCAGCGCCAACTTCCTGGATCACCTTTTCGTCGGGATCCCCCGGAAGCCCGGAGAGACGGTAAGGAAATATAAGAGGGTTATATAACCTGGCCACAGGCTGTACGCTCTCACAGAATGTTTAGATGCAGTTATAGAGGTGTGTATGACACCTACAGCAGAAAGAGAAAAGGAGGGCTGTGTGCTTCAGAAACAAAAGATTAAAAAAATCAATGTTCTCTTGTCATCAGCAATGCTAAACAAAAAACACATTGTCTGCCTAACCCTGAAAAATCCTTTGGTACCTGCTTGAGGTTGTTTGTCCCTAATCAAGCCGCAGTGGAAGCAACAAGATACGTGATAACTGCTGTTCATATCGAATGAGGATGTCTTCAAAAGGTTTGCAAATGAGGGAAGCCCATAACAGGAGTATTGGTGAAACTGATAGTCCACACATTTATTTTGACTGACTTGAGAAATAATTGATCAATGTTTATTACCTTAACCCAAAAATAACAATTAAGACTTACAACTTGCAATGATTTGTTCAATATCTCCAATTTTCTATTGCAATTATTTGGTTGCATATGTATTTGTGGATCCTGTTTATTCTCTTAAATACAAACAAGTAAAACTTTTTTGAATCTTGTGGTGAATGAAGACAATTTAAAAAGGACATATTATTAAATATATGTATTGTTTCACTGACTATGCAAATACTTTTGGGTATCTGTAGAGCCAAGAACAGTGAGATAAAACAACATTGTCTTTCTTGATTTAGACATTCAAAAAACAATATTTGGCTCCACTTCATATTGGGTACCACACAATAAGACTACCCTTATAAAGGATTCATAAAGGGTTTATAATTAGGTTAGGAATTAGGTTGTAAACACTTTATTAATCATTAAGAACCATTTACAAACCAGTTCTAACATAGTTTGCATACATCAACACAGGCTCACTATTTGGAAAGGTGACTAAGCCTTATATTGGCTACTTAACGAGAATCAACTCAGTGAACAACAGACACCAAGGAAGCTGGCTGATGAAGAAGACGAAGTAAGCTAAGTAGCCAATAGGCTTAGCAGTACAGATAAATGTGGGCTCACTATTTGGCAAGCAACCGGTCACAGTTGCCCTGTTTATCTCATGTCTTATAAACGCTTATTAATGATTTATAAAGTGTTCACAACCTAATTAATAAATGAATTACAAACTATTCGTAAACCCTTTATAAGGGTAGTCTTATTGTAAAGTGGTACTCAAATATCTATTACAGGCTAATCACCCCTCATCTATGTATCTCAACCAAGCCCCCAGGAAGTGCGCCGGACTCAGATGAAAATATTTGTGGTGACCAAACGGCGGTACTACACTTACGTTTGGTTGCCAGGCCCGGAAACACTTTTTCCCATTGACTTACATGGGGAAAGAGTGGTCTGTAAATCGTTGGATTTTTTTTAAATTTAAACTAAATAAACGACCCAGTATGAACACTTGTATAGCCCTTATTAAAAACATTCGTTCCTCAAGTTGTAAAAATGTGCTAATAACGTTATTCTGAGAGTTATTTTCCTCTGCATTATGAACGCGCATCTAACCCACGGGACCGCGCCGCCCGGCACGTTCATGTTACGTGTTCAGCACTACATGCGTTTATCTTTACCCATGGGTGCACAATAAGAACGGATCATATCGCCTTACTGCCATCCCACGGAGCTGTAATAATGGATATATTGCACATGTTTGCTGCAATTCATAATTTGTAAAATATTATACTACATGGGCTGTATGATGTAAATCTTGTATTAAATAAAGTTAATGTAGAGGAAACTTCTGTGTAGCTATGCAGTGGGAGTCACCGACTCAGGAAGGAGACACGGTAGGAGCAGTAGCTTTGATGTCAAACACATGATGGTTTATTTGGAGTTAACGGCCGGAGGATTCACATCACAAGTCCAAGAGTCAGAGGTTCTGACTTCACGGTAGAGTTGCCACGTCAATTCTGGAGAGCCTCTCTCTTGCCAGCCCATCTAACTGGTTTCGCAGAGAGTAAACAACATATTTGAGGAGATAGCCTAAACAATGTGGGAACACTGAGCTACTTGCGTCGGACACTTATGACCTCGAAGATTTCACCTTGGAGTCCACAAATACAGAGAAGGAAGTGTCCCAGTGTACCCACAACACAGACCATCTGTGACCCAGTATTGACCGGTCACAGAATGGGAACAATAACATTATTGGCTAAGCAGCCTGTGTCCTTAAAGAAGGTAAACAGACATCAAGGTTTGTCCTGTATGTTACAAATTGGCGTCTATGATAATTATTTCCATAACAGTCCTCTCTTTTTATCATTTATGATAACCTAAAAACATTAGTCTAATAATAATTTGGTCAATAATTAACTCAATAGGCGTCTCCAGATTCGAGTGTGGTCTCACCTTCCATCAATTATATCACAAAGTGGAATCAGATTGAAACATTCAATCACAATGATTGATACAGCCAATCATAATAGGAAAAATCATCTCTCATCAGTGTTTGATCATCTTTTGTCAAAAGCATAATAATGAACACATAAAACACAGGTGCACAATGGCTAAATATTTGTTTTAAACTAATATCTTTTATCATTTACCATTAGTTAATTTCATTCATCAAACTATAAAATCAAAACCAGCTTGCCGCTTTAAAGATTTACTTCAAGGCAATCACTAGTCAAAAGCATTTTAAAACTCAGGATCGTAAGAGATCCAGCTAAAAATTCACAGTTAGAGTATAGAATTCACACTGGTGATTTGATCAATCTGTAATCTGTCCTCAATTTTAGGATTACTTTTAACGTTTACTCAAATACGCTTTAGTCAAGAGTAAGGCACTTAGTGAAATCAATACATTCATTTTAGTCAAGTACATTGTTCAAAATCTGAAAAGGAAAAGTTAGGCAAATATTCAAAGACTTTTGTAAAAACCTGGAAAGGAAGGATTAAACATTTTTAAAACTTGAATTATTACATTTGTAAATGCTACCACTGATCTGTACCAAATTAAGTCTATCAATTATTCCTATTAGCCATACTTACCTGAGCTACTTATGGTACTTGGAAAGGATTCTTCTGTGTTTATCTAATGTTGAGAATATCAATTTCTTTAAATTATACTTCTCTAATTTGAGGATCAAATATGCTACATAATTGTTATATGAAATATTATAAATATTTGTTTTGGGCCAAAACTGTAATTAACCCAGTACTTGAAACATCATTGTAGGTCTTTCTATGCATGGATAATACATTAAAGAGTAGTGTTGTTAAGCCTGATTGCTGGACGATTAAGGATATTAACATTATCTGTGATAATAGTAGAAATATCTTATGATTCAATACTTTATAATCTGAATACATTTTGTTTAGTGCGAAAGTGTAATCTGATCCGGCAAAAATATATTAATCACCACTATTCAACACATGTCTGGTCATTGGAAATATAAAGACAGTCATTAATTGTACATATGTAAACATCCAAGATATAAAATCAATTCAAAGTTCATCTTTGTACGAGAGCTGGAAAAACGTGTCCTTCAGTCTTTCTGACTCGTTCTCCTCCTCTCTTTATGACAAAGAGTGTCTGGTGTGTGTAAAGGCATCCTGATACTGTAGATTAGCACTAAGGTGCTGATTGGCTCAAACTCTTCCTCAGAGCGCCATATTTAAACCCCCCAATTGCTCTGCTTTTGTGTGGCTCATTCAGTGAGCACTGTAGTTGATTCCCCCAGTGAAATGGAGGCTCATCCGCCTGCATTCCTTCTGCTATCTGCTTGAGAGCAGTGCCAGACAAAACTGCGTATTCCAAGTGGCGCATCCAGGTCTCCCCCCCGTGATGGGAGAGGTTAGGAAGACATCTGCTCCTCCAAGAAACAAGGAACCTTGTATGAAGCCTCTGAAGTCCTCGCTCGTCCCGCAGGGTTGTCTGCTTGAGCCCACCGAGCAGAATGGTGAAGAAGCATCCCATCTCCTCAGATAGTTGAAGATTAGAATCCTCTCATCTCGAACGACCTCGTGCCTCCTTGCCCGTGGCTGGGGGTGCCCTCTGCAGCCGGAGAGTGTGACCCTCTCTCTCTGACCCTTGGCCTTCAGAGCTGTCCTAGTTATTGGGGTAACACTTGATAGGGATGTTTTCCTGAGTGCAGACAACTCAAAGTAATGGATTAGCACATTATCAGTTAAATACAAAAATAGGATAGGCCCCTCAGAATTATTTGGGAGTCTTCCTGACACATGCATAAATGTAAGGTTTGTGTTAGTCATTTAACATGCAAGAATCATAAATTCATCAGTCCAAAGTAGAGAAATGTTATTGTAATTTAAAGGTGAGCTAGTCCCTGTGGATATCACCCCTTCTCAATGATTCTAAATGTTATATTAATTCACCATTTACCGTTTGATAACATATTAGTTTATCAGAAATATTTTCCTCTTCCATAAAACAGGTTTGAGAAATAAATGTTCCAATATAAAATCAATTACTCAATATAATTGACTCTTCCCTCCCTTTTCTTACATATGTCACATATGAAATAATAACTTAGGAGTCTATTTAAGCATGGTGTAATCTATTACTCGAGAAGACTCAGTATCACCTGTGTGCAGCTTACAAAAAAAACAATTGTGAGAAACATATATTATGCAGGAACTGTATACCTTTGTTGAAAAACAAAGCATATCTGATTTGGGAGGAAAAGCTTCATCCCCCTTAACATCTGAGTCAATACTGAAGGCATAGCATGAATGATAGTGGGTGTTTGAGGGTGTTATTACTGACAAATGTCAAACACATTCAAAACCTTACATTTGAAAACAGGTTTGCATTCCTTCTCTTAAAATGACGTTATCATTGGAAACAATACAAGCTAATTGTTTTGATGTAGAATCTATAAATTGAATCGTTAGAGCAGAACAGAAAGAATGGTCGTATTGTAGCCTGAGTACCGTGCAGCCTTCAGTTTCACCAGGTGGAAACATTGTCCATATAATGTGAATACATGTAGAACTAGACATTAAGAGGCCTATTTTAAAA